ATATTCCAAGCGTTAAAATCAATTTTTTATGCTGTGGGTAACACACCCAATAAGAATGTCGCTGGTGATGAACAAGGCACTGCTCTAGCTGAGAAAATAATGCAAAGTGCATCGACGAATCTTCGATCCTAAAATACTATCTAGCCACAGTCCGCTAAAACGACTCCCTTCTAGAAGCAAATGGGCAGTAACATATTTCCAATGTATAAATTACTAGTTGACGTTGCCGGCGAAGCATGTACAAAGTTCCGATTCGTGAGGCATTATCGGTAGAAGTAATGCATCGCTCTAGCCAATACATGATCTTAAATAAATCTGTATACCGCAAGTGCAAAAATACGATGGAACCGTGGCCTGTTAAAATGTCATCATAGACATCTAACAGCAAAGTCAGCCGCAATGCCAAATGGTCCGGTATGACCGAACTATGCATTTGCGCAACGTAACCGTCTTGCCTCACTTAAAAATTCTGGTAGGTTGCTGCCGGACACAAAGGTATGTCGAAGGAGTCCAGACAAAAAAAAGCAATTGTAGCACAACAGCATACAAACAACAATCAAACAACCAAATACAAGCATAGGCTACGCTGGGACCAGACAATACAGCCGTAAACGTTCATTCAACTCAAATATACGGTTTGCGCAACACATCTTCCGCTTTGCACTACGGCCACCTACACAATGCAGGTTCTGATATAGAAGCTGTCAAGAAAAATAACCACGGGGCAGAGATTATCCGAGTGAAACTGGTCACTATGTGATCGTGGGATCTTCGGCACTCTTTTGTGACCCGGGGAACCGTTGACCACACCAACGCGTGACGGCATATTAGCATCCGCATCAAGAACCGCCGCATGCCCACCGCCATTTGGGAGAGGACTGTGTCGAGGTGTCTTATCAGATAAAGCAGAAGGAACTCTAAGTAGCGATGTGTCTGTACGAAAGTCCATGTAAACAACTCACTGAGGGCCTTCATCCTTCTTCCTTCGTTTTACATGTGATTCGGCAGAAACGTTTCCTTGCAACAGGGATTTGAACACTGCTGCCATTTCATGCCGCCCAATAATTTTCGATGAATCTGAGCTGAAGCATATTCTCTCCTCCCTCAAATCAAACGGCACTCCTGTGGCAGACCGGGTCATAGGTAAAGTGTTAGTGCTGTGTAAAGCCGAAAAGAGTGGTG